TGTCAAGATTCTGAGACTATATCTTTATTTGTGCCTTTTTTTTTTTTTTTTTTTTTTTTTTTTTTTTTTTTTGGTTTTGTGAGACAGGTCTTGCTGTCTTAGCTCTGGCCAACAACTCACTATGTAGTCCAGGCTGGCCTCACACTAATGGCAATCTATCTGCCTTATCCTCCTAAGTGCTGGGATTACAGGTGTGACTACTCCCAAATGGAGTCACTGGGAGACTCTAAAAGTGAATTTTAAAAAGCAAGCAGATAGAAAGTTGCTGCAGATATGGTCGACTTCATCCACAGCCCAGGAGCCCAGGATTCCGTTGAAATGAATCCAGCCCGAAAGCTTGGCTACAGAATAACAAACAGTTAAAGGTTCAGTCCCTGCTGATGCCTGCAGTTCCAGGCAAGCTGTTAAAGGATGCTTTGTCCAACATTTCCCTGCATGAAATATGGTCTCTGGGCCTCCGTGCCACGCCTTCCCCTCACTCTCCTTCCCAATTCATTGGGTTACTCATTGCTAAGCAGCCACTCTGTGGGAGGTGGCAGTCTGTGAGGAAGGACTGGATAGGGCCAAAAGGTTGACCCAATGTGAAGGGCGCTGGGAGAATACTGAGCAATGGGAGGAACCTGGGAGAGCCTCCTGGGTGAGTGGCCAGTGAGTTATTTCACCTTTTTCTTTGGTTTATGTTTCTGATAATACACAAGTGTTGGCAATGATAAGTCAGTGGTGTGTCAGTAATATTTAACAATCAGTTCTCTGGGGAAATATGCATATGCTTTATATATGCTTATTAAGAGATGATGCCCATATAAATAATGCATAGCAAATAATTTGCAGATAGTGATCAAATATAAATGTTCTTCATTGTGAAGTCAGTGGACACGGACAATTCATTTATTGCAGAACATGTTTGCTAACTTTTCTGTCTCCTGCATTGAGCCAACCTATGGTTACAATTCACAAGCAAGCATATGTCACGAACAAGTGTTCGCTAATATTTTCATTTCTATTAGTGGAGACATAAGGTAATGTTATCACGTTCAGTAAGACAAGACTGAAAATGAAAACAAGGCAGAATGTCGCTGTGCACCAACTGCACTCTAAGGCACAGCTCTGCGAAACTGGGTAACATTTTTTGATAACTTCAAGAGTATGACCAATAGTTTGTGTCACTCACAGGTATAGACACATTCACTTTTAAATATAATCTCCATTATTAATATTCTTCATCCTCTCTATGTAGCAGAGGTTGACCTTGAACTCATGATCCTTCTGCCTGTAGCTCCAGATGGCTGAGGTTACAGGAATGGACTGGCATTCTCATCTTATGCGGTGCTTGGGATCACCCAGGGAACAGTGAATCCTAGGTAAGCAGTCTAACAGTTGAGTTACAGCCCTACTCCCTCCATCGCTTCCTTAAACCCAATCATCCAAACAATGGATCAGGCTTACCAAATTCCAAGTATTTCCCAGTTGAATTTTATGAATTAGTAGGGGTGTGCCAGTAGGTACAATCATGACTGTCTCTACCACAAGACTTCCTTAGGTACCACAATCCAAGGACTCTCAAGTCCCTTATACAAATGTATAGCATTTACATTTAACCTTTGAACAAACTTGAGGT